TTTGTATTTTGTATTTGCAGGAAAGTAAAAATCATTTTATAAATGTGTATTTAATTAAACAGACACCTCAAGATTGTGTACATTTAGTTAAGTACCTAAACAAACGGACTATAGAGTTGAATTTAAATCTAAAGTGTCTAGCTTTATGTCGTCGGTGTTTCGCATAAAAGGCGAAAATTATTCTAGGGCATATTTTAAATTTTGACAACATTTTAAAATATTTACGTCGTATTTTAAATTAAATTTTAAAATTTAGAGTTAATTAAAACCAATTAAATATTTTAAAACAGTTGATAAAACGTGCTCTCTGAAAAAATACAATAAATACAATAAGTTTAGTGTAGGAAATAAACTTCAATATATCACAATCTTATAAATATTAGTGGTCCATAGCAAAATAGCTCTTTTTCGGCTTATTATACAGCTGTATTCGTAATATACTAAAATTTATTTGTAGTAAGATTCGTTGCCTAAGGGTGACTGATTTTTATGGTGTGACCAGTTGCAATGCCAGTCAGTGCATCCCAAAGATCATGAAGATCATGTTCCAAATAATTACACCACCAATATTTAAAACAAAAATACACTAAGATCCTGACGTTTGTTTTTTTTTTAATTATTCTAGAAAACCATCAAAGTATGTCCTGTACAAATCGAGTTTTAATTTCGCTACACGTGGTCATATAAGCACACGTGACAGTAATAACATCAGTGTGAGGTTTTTACTGGCCGCGGGCAACCCCGCCGGCTTACCTTTCATTTCGACTGAACTCTACCGCTGCTCCACTTTTATGTTTATTGACGGCCGAGACCATTCACGGGGAAATATATTAAAGTCTACATTTTCTTATATCACACTCTATAATAAAGTGACGAATTCAAAAAGTAGCATTTTTGGAGAAATGTAAAAATATACTTTAGGACACGTAGTTTGAGCGAAGTTGCATTTATATATTTAAAGGGCCAGAATTTAAAAATATTATTAGAAAGAAGAATATTGCGGAAGTGCACTGGATGCAAGCAACACAGGATAGGTCGTTGTGGTATTCTTTGGGGGAGGCCTATGTTGAGTGTGTGCGTTATTATAAAAAAAGTACCCTCTTTGTGCCTAACATACACACATACAAATAAAAATAACCGTCGAATTGAGAACTTCCTCCTTTTTTTTGAAGTCGGTTAAAAATTGACAGTTGAATAGTGGCTCGATGGTCACCCATTAAAACCTACCCTTAACTTCTAGCAGAATAAACGTACAAAATCTTGCCACATATAACTGCCTCAGTGGCCGAACGGTTACCATGCCACTGCCACGCAGAGGTCCCAGGTTCGATTCCCGGGCCGGGAGAAATATTTGTATGACCTACATTTATTTCTCTCGTGAGTTTGGGTGTAATTTGTGGTTGTCTATGTGTGTGTCCATGGCACCCGCGACACAGGGTTTCCCTAGTGCGGGGCTATGTTGAGTGTGTGCGTTATTATAAAAATAATAATAATAATAATTTGACTTAACATTAACAGACTTCGAGTCCAGCATGTCGCCCTATGTCGCCCAGTACGCCCCTGTCGCGCCTTTTATGATACGTTCTAAGTACCCATAAAGACATACACATCTCCACTTCCCTGATTTCCGGCTTTCACTCTACTTTCATAAACACCTTCACACTTACCATTTCCTGTTAATAAACAAATTTACTTACTTCTTTGTATATGTACGTAATACATAAAATGCAATAACGGGTCCAGAAACGGTAGGTGGTCGTGTCGCGATCGTCTTTTATTTCTATAATACTTATTTCCGCAACATACCCAACTAGTCTCTATCTACAAGGTAAAATTTTTGACTTAGGTTTATAACGACCATAGAAATGCCTTTAAAACATCCACTCATAAGATCTAAAATTGCGTAGCTTAAAAAACTAGGGCACGGCTACTGCCTTGACGAGATGTCGTTTACATAGTACCCAGAGATGGAAACATAAATTTGCTGCTAGATATATGTTAATAAAGCATTATTTGTTTATAGAATCAGTTTTCCAATTGCTGTGAACAAACCCGAAACAGTATTCTCGAATGTTTGTTTGTGAAACCCTGCAATAGCGTAAAATTGTGCACTTGTTTTTGTATTTTATGTATCGGAAAAGCGTCGCTTTCAGAATTTACCTCTAGCAAACGACAGGTAACTTATCTGTTCAGCCATTTAAAAAAAAAGAATTTCTATAGTATACTTTTTAATATATTAAATGTTTTACCAATAAGTCTCCCATTCACTATAGAAATAATATTAGTTCAGATATCAAAACCGAGCCAATCAATCATCATAAGAAGCAGTAGAGTCTCTTTCACTCCTTGTGAAAGAATTCGTCCAGGGCAGTACAGTCACGATACCTATTTTTGTCGTCAAGCTGTTGATTTTGAAGGGTAAGGGTGCTGGTGAAATTACAGGCACACGGGACTTGTCTATTTTATGCTTCAGAGTGACGGGCGCAGTATTGCTCAGGTCTGCGCGATTTAAAACCCTAAGTTCACTGCCACCAGCACGAATTCTTTGTTCCATCACTTGAAAAAGACAAAAAAAAGACAACTAGTCATCATATGGACAAGAAACATGGCTGGTCGCAGATCTCATTTACTTTTTTGCCCACAACATAATGTAGTCAAAAAAAGTTATCACAACGTGCGGTTTCTATTTTAATAAACTTTCCAAGCGAGAAATGTACAACCATAGTTAGCTGTGTTATTGCCTTATATTCACGTACACTTATACAATAAAATTTTATATGAAACATGACAACATAGTCAGAAAAAAATCCATTATTTATACTAAAAACTCGTGAAGTTCCTATATTGCATTGGTCCAGCAAAATGGACTTATAACGTTAACCCTTTCGTTAAAGGAGACCAGTGCCCAGAAATGTGATCTAGTACTTCAGAAACCTGCGGACGTGGGCACAACAATTCAAGAGAATTTTATCGTAATCTGATTAACAATAATGGAATGCATGCGGTACAAACATTTCTCCTTGAAGATTTGTAAGTATTAAGAAATTATATGTATGAGGCATCGAGTATATAACCAGAAATAGAGACGAAATGTTATTTAATTTGTTTGAAAACTATTCTGCCAAATCATTACGTTGACAACTGCGCTCGATTGGTCAGCCCGAATTTGAAACAATTGACGGGTGTCGTCAATTGTTTCACTTCAAATCGACCAGTTTAACTTGAGCTTTAATGGACGATAATTAAAAGAATTACATATTTCATATTTAATTACCGATGAAATGTGATACCGTTTGTTTTGTAATTAGATATTTTGCTGTTTTTCCCACACCATCGAATGGAACAGCCACCCATCGTTAGTGATATTATCTTTGTTACAATAAATACAGAATATTTTCAGTCAGTTGTTGGCGCTGCACTATTTCAGCTTCCTAATTTGTGATTTCAGCGCAAACGATATTTAAAGGTGATAGAAGACCCAATTTGCCTGATGGGTTGCCAGGAATGGATGACCCTTATTTCGGCTCTATTTCTGGTTATGTACTCTATGGTATAAAGAAAGGGAAAAGCGGACATTTAAATGCAATCAAAAATTATTCGTCGAATGTTTATCTATACATTTGTCGTTAAACATTTGCCAATAAGAACTTATATTTATGCCGCAAAGCAGTAATGTGTTAATGTGACCATTTTTGCGTTCCGGTTTTGAATAATAAGAAACTATTTTGACTGTATGTTCTTTTTTTTTGTATGTATGTTACGCGATAACTCCGGTATTTGTGAACCGATTTTCATGATTCTTTTTTTGTTGGAAAGGGGGTACTTCCATAGTGGTCCCATTTCATTTTGAAGAAAATCATCCACCTCGACGGGTGGCTGTTCACGCACGAAGATTCATTTTATAAATAGCGCCTTAATTTAGGAGCAATTACTTTAATGGTTGATTTTGCTATTTCTCCAATTCGTTTTCTCTCAATATAGTTTGTGTAGTGTCGTAGTGAGAACCTATTTTTATTATCTCCACTGTCAATTCCTGTCTAGTGGCGAACTATATATTTCAATAAAATTTAGCAAATAGACGTAATTCCACTTACTTTTGAGGTCGGTTTTTTTAGTACTCTGTACTGAGATTATTCGATGTTTTATTTTATTTATCTTCGCGTTTTGTTCTAGTAAACAATACAAAGTGTTTTTAATGTATTAAATACTCTCTACAAACATTCGTTTTTCATTTAACAAACGTTACTGTACCTACATCAAAGTTAAAAGAAATTCTTATTCCAGTACCTTCTTTTAGCAAGTTCTCAATATTTTAGCAGGCAAAACGTACGTACTTATGTTAAAAGCAGCTATTTCCCTCTAGCTCCTTCTCTTAAATGTTTAAACAGACGAAAAAATTAGTATTTTCATAAGGTCTAAAGATTTCCCTTCGGAGTAACTGAATTCTGTTTATGTTTTTCTCTATGAAAAATGAGAGAACGAGTGCAACAATATAGATAAAGGACTTAAGAATCGTTTGTTTTGCGACGGTGACTGAGGGGATGGGCTCTATTTCTTTGGCGGATTTTCCTCTGAGCATTCCCCGTTATGACGAAGCTACACAAAAGTCGTTAAAAACTAAAAACGTTCCGTGACTTAGTTGGCATAGCATCTGACACGGTTTGCTGGAAGACGTTGGTTTGAATCTAGCCATATAATATAACAAACTAGAGGAGTAATTTCACAAAAACAATTGAATATCATGGTGGTCAAATATTGTACTTTTAACCCGTACTTTAATTTTTACTAAAAATAATCCACTACAGACTGTTTTTAAAAATAGACGCCCTTAATTTTAATCTAGTATGAATAGAATGTACGTAGACAGGAATTATACAGTAAATAATTAACAAAGGAATTGATGCTTCATTCAAACAAAACAATTTTATGCCTATGAAGTTCGTTAATGGTCGCGGCATGGAAATATGATCTAATACGTAGTAAAACCATTTAAAACATACCTCAAGATTGTCAAAATCGACTTTGATGAGCCGCCTCTGTGGCTGCGTGTGTGGCGTGACGTCACCACCCCTCCGCGCTTCACCTCCGCCCGGGCCACTACCCGCGCCGTTTGTCGCTGAAACAATAAAAGGGAAAATAATTAATATTGTTTTCATTTTATTTTTCTTAGTAACTAAAGAGAGAGGCATTATTTGCTTTATGTTCCTTCAAGTTTAAATACGTACTTTGTATTATTTTATTTCAACTTCTTTTTTCTTACTTAGAATAACAACGCATAGAACATTGACTTAATAGAATGATAGTTTCATATCAAACGAACTGTCACAAGTGAGGTAAAAATCAAATTGATGTAGGCTAGTTTTAGTAGTAGGTTAATTTTCGGTTTTACTGAATATTTATATAAAAATACAAGTTGAAACGCGTTACTTCCTTGTGGAATGTGATGTTAGTATCTATTTTATGTTTGTCTGACGTATTTTTACACTCATTTACCGCACATTTCGTCATTTTTAGCTAAAATTCTTGATCTGTTCGCGGTGCAAGTTGACCTTGAGCACTGAAGGCCCGCCCGCTCGTGTAGGCCCTTTGGGCGTGCTTCAATTTGCCTCACTTAGCGTGTGCGGACTAGATTTCTATGCGTTATTATGCTAAGGTGACAGGACGAACAAGTGATGGTACGCTACACGCCTGTACATAACAGTTGCAGTGCCACTCAGAGCTTTAAATCGCAAACATCTGAAGCACTCCCACTGTGCCCTTCACCTCGAGACAAAAGTTGACAAGTACCATGTGCCTGTAATTTCACCAGCATGTATGGATTTCACATGTAACTGTCTTAAACACTCTATTTATGGATACTCGACACAGAGTATGTGTATTGCACAGACCATAAAACCACCATGCCGTAACACGCGCTATGCTTTAAGAAACAAATCATATTCAGCTTTGGACAGTTTTTATAGTAAGTGGCATAGACTTGATATTACAACTAAAGCATGGGTGTGTACTGTACTGTAGGTAATTTTATTTAGAAACTAAACGTTTTCTACTCACGTTATTTTACTTTTGAAGCTATGAAACTTTTAATAGAATAACCGAGTTTATGGCTCCTAAACAAGTTTTGACAGCTGATAGGAGCTGTTAAAGTCTGGGGAACCAATGAAAAAATGAAATAAGAAAATTCTCTGCCAGAGTCGATCATACGCATACGAAAGCTCGTGGGCCACTTATGGGAATCATCACACAACTGTCGAAGAAGGCAGAAGCAGTAGTTTAGTAGCAGTAGAGTTCCTTGTGAAAGAGTTCATCCCAAGCAGTAATGTAAACATTACTGCGTTCCGGTTTTGAAAGGTAAGGATACTGGTGAAATTACTTGTGACTTGTCAACTTATGCCTCAGAGTGAAGGGCGCAGTGGCAGTGGCCTTCATATCTTCGTAAGGCACTGCAACTGCTATGGACAGGCATGTCCCTTACCAACACGCGCACGAATTGTTCGTCCCGTCACTTGACATCATAAAAAATATATAAATACATGAAATATATATTATTATCTTTAAGTTTATCCTGTAACTCCTGTTTAACCTGATGTTGCCTGGAAGAGATTTCTGCCTAGCAATGAGCGCAAAAGAAGGACTTCGTTCGTTTTTTTTTCTAGCTCAAACCGATCCTGTGTCGTAAAACATTTATAAACTGCCTCCGTGGCCGAACGGTTACCATGCCGGACTGCCACGCAGAGGTCCCAGGTTCGATTCCCGGGCCGGGAGAAATATTTGTATGGCCTGTATTTATTTCTCTCGTGAGTTTGGGTGTAATTTGTGGTTGTCTATGTGTGTGTCCATGGCACCCGCGACACAGGGTTTCCCTAGTGCGGGGCTATGTTGAGTGTGTGCGTTATTTATTTATTGATTTATTTATAAACATACATATTATATCGTATTAAATATATTATATATATTTATAAAAACATACATATTTACGAGCGATGCGCAGGTGGAGGCCGACTATTACGTAACACACGAATATTGAAACCCCTTGCTCATCGAACCCAACTCTCAACGAAAAATCCGCGAGTAATCGGGACCCGATTTACGAACACCTACCCACAAGTCTAAAAAGTGTTACAAATGACGAAGTGTTTTGTTCCCAACTGAAACACCTTTTATTGAATAATGAATTTTACAGTGTAGAGGAATTTCTTTTAAAGAAATTGTAATTATATTTTAAATTTTGGACGATTGTATTTTGAAAATGTTTAAATTTTTATTTGTATTATTGTAGTTCATATTTTTCTTTATTTCGCTTTTAATTATTTTATTCTATATTAACAATGAAATTATTATTTACATTAATGACGCTCATGTTATCCCTTGACATTATATTTCGAATTGTAATATTATGAAATTGATAATATGAAATAAATGATCTATTCTATTCTTCTAAAATACTGTCCATTTCATCAATTCCAATACTACTCTACGTACAAAACAATATTGCCAGCAGCGTCCCCTCCGTTTATCACAGACATATGTCGTGCCTATATGAGATATTTTTACGCCCCTCTAATAGGCTTTTACGGAACTTTTATGGAGAATATTATTATCCTATTATGGAAAAAGAGCGAACTCTCGCCTTCTTTAACTCTATAAAGAACCATCTGTTTCTGGGACCGAAAACAATAAAATCAACTGCAGTGAGGTTGCTCCACTGCTACGTCTGGCCTGTAGTGTCGTACGGTAGCGAGGCTTAGACTCTAAAAGCCGACACCCAGAGGCGTCTTGAGTCCTTCGAGATGTGGTGCTAGCGTAGAATGCTTCGCATTAGCTGGACCCAGAAAGATCCCAATGTGATAGTTCTTCAGCGCGTTGGGAGGGACCGAGAACTCTTGCAGACCGTCAACAAAAGGAAAGTTGCGTATCTTGGACACGTTCTACGGCATGAAAAATACCGACTTCTGCAACTGATAATGATGGGCAAGATCGAGGGTAAACGGCGTACTGGAAGAAGGAAGAAGTCGTGGTTGCGCAACATCCGGGAATGGACCAATATTGCCAGTGTAGAACATCTGTTTCGCTTGGCTCAAGACAGGGAAGAGTTCTCCAAGCTGGCGGCCAGTCTCCAGTAGTGGAGAGGCACTACATGATGATGAGTGACAAACACCTTTTCAACCTTATTTTTTACATAAATCAATTTAACTAAATACACTACCATATCAATTAAGGGCGTATAGGCCCACTAAATTAGAACGATGGCATTGACCCATTTTAGGGAATAACCTCAGCAATCAGGCAGGAGCTGCCTCTAAGATGTTTGCAATTGAAAGCTCTGAGTGTAACTGGAACTATCATGGGTAGGTATGCCACCTACAACCAAGCCCACGACTCGTTCATCCACTTCCTTGATAACATAAAAAAAGCATGTTATGCACTTTAATTGGGGTTTGTTACGTCATCATTACATCCGACATTCCTTTCAATAATAATTTCGCACTTAATAAAAATCTTGATAAAATGTATTCCACTTTAAAGTACTTTCATGGTCGTTTGAATCACGATTCGATCTCGTGAAGAGAATGTATGGCGAAACAAATTATATCACGATTCCAGGTCTCTTGTTTAATTGTTGCAACGAATTTAATTACCAACAGCTAATTACCAAAGTCGAGATAATTAAAATATGTTTTATACGTGATTAAGTCCCGAATTAAAAATGAAATAATGAAAATCGTGAAAGTTTAATTCAAGGTACCTACCAACAGCTATTGTTATAGTTATTTTAGTTATCACTGTCATCAGCATTAACCTGGTATAAGTCCCGATGAGCACTGCCGCCCGCTAACTAACTAGACTTCTTCTCTGAACGTTATAACTTGGACTTTTCAAGGCGAGAGTGAATAGGCATTATCTAGGTGTGCATGGTCCATCGTCGACCTCATCCTCACTTTCCATCAGGAGAGATGGAGGTCAAATGCACACTTACATTAGAATAAAAAAAAACTAAAACGCGGCTATTGACAAAATATTTTTTTGAGATGTCATAAAAAACCATAACCCAGTTATAGAATATTGAAATTCTTTAATGATATTTCAGTTATGCATCGTTAGGGTAAGTTCCGATAAGTCCACTACACTACACTAGAACATTTATCATTTAGCCGCAGGTCTCCTCTTAGTGGACGATTTAGGGATGCCTAAATCGTTAACCTATCCTGTCACACGTTTTCAAAGTATTGTGAACCTTCTTCGACGTGCAGGTTCCACCGCGATGTTTTTCTTCCCCGTTAGCGAAAGGTATTTCTGCTAAATATTAACAAATGAACGTAGCCTATATAATTAAAGACATCGGTACATGCCGCTACAGGGATTCAAACCATCATCATCTCGATTGAGAAGCAACCGTTCTAACATTGCACGGTGATTCACGCTCCATACTAAGGCGGTCATAAATACGTAACTCCGAAATTATTATTATTTTTTTATTTTATTACGTTAAAATATGATTAGGTAAACGTAAATTAATAAAATTATACATTTTAAAAAATATTTGACAATATTTAGGTGTAAAAATGTCTCGCAGTAATTTTGTTTTTAGACGATGTATCTAAAACATTTTATACTGCGACTTTTAATGGTAAAACTGTGTAAATAATGATTATTTGTATTAACAATAACCACAAATGAATAAATTAAAACAATAAAAATACATAAAAAAGTTCATTTTACAAAATACAAACAAAACACAAATTATACCAAAATACATTAAATCTCAACAATATTAACTTTAAATACATAACAAGTCTAATACAGCTTTTGACAGTACACCTTTTTTTTTAACAGGTAACTTTCGTAGACCTGTTATGAAGGGATCTGAATGAAGAAGCAGCCTATTTACTAAATCTGTGTTGGTCACAATGCGACTCATTTTACGCGTATGATTTTTTCTAAAAGACTTGATGTATTTGTTAGTCGCTTCAGCTGCTTCTTCAGACAACTCTCCGATTGACAACAAACCGTAATCTATAACATTAGCACCATGAATTAGAACTTTGTGAACGGAAGCAGGCATGTTATACCACGGATACTCGGCAACTAACTGCCGAGCCGTCTCTAAAGCGAACT